ATATATATATATATATATATATATATAGAGTTAGGCTACAGTGAGTTAGCAAGTTTGTTATTTACTGTGTAATCAATGCATGATTTAGTCATTTGTCTGTTACTATCAGCCAGTTAGTTAGTTTTTACTGTGAATATTGGGTTTGTGTTTCAGTGAAGAAATAGAAATATGAAATTAACAAAATAAATTTCTGTTTAAATGTAGTTTATTTCTGAAGTTAAGTCTGTCAGTGATCGTTAGTTTTATTAAGCGTGGAACTTATTCAAGGAAGAAACATTTCACCGACATTAAGTAGGCTGAACTTCATATTATCTTTTTTCCTCATATTCTATAATAATCCATCGAACAATAGAAACCATTACAACACTGGGTGTCAGAAGTAGGATTGTATGGTAAAAATAAAATGAACAAGATCTAACTTCACAATTATGACACATAATTGAAGCAAAAAAAAATGCTAATAATGAAACATGAAGAAATAAACAGGAATTTAAGGGGGGAATTACAAGAATGAAATATATGATTTACAGAATAACTGTGAAAAAAAACTTGATCGAAGACAGATTCAGAAAGCCATTGGATAAGTATGTGTAAAAGGACATCAATAAAGTAAAAATGGAAGTATAAAACGACATCAACGAAGTACAAAATGACATAATTGGCAAGATAAAACACCTAGAAACTGAATTGACAAATGCACATCTTCAAGATTTCCAACTTTGAACACCATTGACAATGATATATGGAATAAGAAAACCCATGTGGCATATACCTGTTACCACTATTGCTGCGCCACCTATGATCGCAAGCCTTTCATGGACTACTCAAGCTAAACCAATATCTCATCAAGTTACTTAATTTAATAGGTCAGTTGGACACCATTACCTAATCGAGAAACCAATTGATGATGATGGAAAGGAACCATGGGAGGAACATTGGGTGCAGTTTGAAATGATTTCCAAAGATGAATAGCTTGATGTGCATTTAAAAGGATCAGCTTTAACAACATTTGGAGAGCCATAAAGACTATCAGGTATTAGTGGCCACCTTATCAAACAAATTTGATGAGGTGTTTTTTTTCAGTGCTTGTAAAGATATATGGTAGGGCAATGACATTTCTGGTTGCTACAGAAGCTGCAAGGACCCTGATAGGTACTGCTATATATCATGAGACACTCTGAATGAAGCCACAACCTTGGCTAGTGAACACCCACTTTGTTCTGCTGAACAGTGGCATGATAGATGTGAATAGAGAGGCGTATCTCTAAATACGTCTAGGCCATGTGAACTATAGGATGGAGGTCGTCATTGCAGACCTAAGTTCTGGCATTGGCATCCTGATGATGGACATACTGCAGAAACTGTCTAGCGACTTTGCTGTGCAACAGGTGAAATTAATTGTGATGAAAAATCCATTCATTGATAGTAAAAGCTTACCAAAGAACAGAAGACCTCTTGTGTTTAATTTTTAATATTTAATTAAATAATGCACCAAAGGACATAGACTAATAATATGGAAAAGTAAACAATTTCTCCTAACTCTCAAAATTTTTCTGGCTTTCTAACAATGTGACAAGAGCAGTTACAAATTCATCCAATCTAGTCGTTAGTTTTCCCATAGCAATAGATGTTGTGAAATATGACAATTATATTTTCAAAACACAACGTTATACAATACTTCATTTGATAGATGAAAACTTTGACTTTCTATTGGTTATAGGTAATACATAATTAAACATAAGCGAGAACTATTAACAAATCCTGACAGAGAGAATGTGACAGGTGGGTGTAGCAGGAGGGGTCTGATTTTTCTATTTGATAGCTCTGTAACAAAACAAAATTGAAGGCTATAAAAATTATGGCTTGTCTAAGCAATAACAATTTTATAGTGAGTGATTTGCGTTTAATTTCGTAGTTTCTGGGATGTGAGGGATGAGAAGATACCTAAAGAAAATGTGTCACGTGTGTCACACTAGGGGAAATTCAGGATTTTTTAAACATTGCCTTATAAAATTAAGAACTTAAACTTATATATTATTAAAATATGGATTCTTAGCTAG